GCTTATTCCGTGTAGGCCAGCGAGAATGTCACTTCGTCTCGCATTGATGAATATGGGATCAACCACAGAATTTTTGTAGCAATAAATGTCAAGCATCCCAGGGACTATGAACCAATCTGGTATAAACCAATGCACATTCACCAACACCCAACACTACGTATTCGTCCCGGAGAGGAACTAGAACACATGGCGCACTCCAGCAAAAGTTTCTACGGACTACTTGAACTCAGCCTTTCACACCGAGTCATTCTCTGCCCTCAGCTCACACACTGGATCTTTTCTACACAGAACCACACCATGGCGCCCGCCCTACCTCAAATGGCAGAGAACATGATAGGAAGTTCATGTAGCACGTAAATTCAAGAACAAATTGATCACCGATGAGCTTTTATCCTTCATTCTTTTCCTCTCCTCCAATAAAAGCACCGATGAAACTAACAATCTAACCGGAAAAAATCGCAAATATTAAACCAAGACACGATCGAAAAACACATTAACAACAACAATAAACTACGAGAAACAAAAAATTCAGCTTCAAGATCATCACCGAGTTCTTTTTACCAGGAACAAAGACGTGAGTATATGTTAACGAGTAGCAAAAAAAATAAACCAAACAAAAATGAATGAAATTGATATTGGCACTCTTCAACTGCATGATGTCGTGAAGTGGAAACGCCTACTGCCTCAAAGTGCCAGAATACCTGTGATTGGTTGCTTGCTCAAAACAGCCACACATGGCTCGCTTTGTTCATCGTAAGCGGCTTCATTCCACCATTCAGTTGCAAGAACGCTGTCTTACTAGACCCCCAATTGTGTACTTCCCTTTATCAATTTCTTTCCTGATCTTAAAGAACAGAACAACCAAAAAAAATGATTTTTAGGATGAATAAAGTCATCTCATGGAAAAGTGAGTAGCAAATTTTGTAAAGAAAAAGTGAGCGTTGATAGGAAAAAAATGCTTCTTGTTGCCTTCACCAAATCGTAGAGCAGTTACAGACGCTCTCTATCCTGCCAGATTTTACCATAACCGCCCCTATCAGGATCATACTGCTCACGATATTCATCGCGGACCTGGAAGGCAAAATTCTTTTACATAAGCTCCATGGTAATACTGGTAACGAGAACTGAACTTAGTGTTACCTGTCCGCCGTGCTTTCCTCTTCCATACTGGCGTCCTTCTACAAAACCGGCGTCATAGTCAACTCTAATAATCCTTCCATCCAACATTGTACGATTTAGGAACGTACGGCATTTTCGGTATCTGCCCGTGTATAATAACTAAAATATTATAGGTAATTCCTAAATGTTAAGACGCGAATGCGATTCTGACAACCACAAAAACATAAAAATGCAATACTTACATCACGAAACAGAAGCCGCATGGACTTTTCTTGAAACGATCAAGACCCATAATTACTCTTTTGACCTCTCCAGCACGGTTGAATAACTCATACAACTGGAACAGGACATTTTGACTGATTTTTGTTTGTTACCTTCTGTTTTTGGTCGCAGTTCGCCTTGCAAATTTTTCATAAGAAGCTGGGTTGTGAACAAAGCTCCCCCCGTGCGTGTGAGTGCTGACAAGCGATGGTAGGTACACCACGAAATGATGCCCGGTAGCGTGACTTGGAGCGCGCTTTCGCGGAAACAAGAGATGCGGGTTTGAGTCCCGTTTGGGGCGACAACCCAGTAGCATGACCATTTTTTGCAAACGTATCTTTTTAAGCAGATTGCCGAATGATGAATTACGCACCAACAGCATCCTCGAGTTTCAACTTCATTCCGATCTATGAACATCTCACGTCTCGCCGTTCGCGCTTGAACTCGAAAAAATTGTCGAACAGTGCATAGAATACCATCATCCCCTTCTTATCAACTTCATCGATTTCAAGAAGGCATTTGATAGCATCCATCGTGATTCACTGTGGAAAATTCTTAGAATATACGGGATACCATCGCGCTTCATCAGCATCTTCAAGAACTTATACCTGAACTCCTCGTGTTGCGTAAGAACAAATAATGGCCACACAAACTTCTTTGAAATCACCACAGGAGTACGACAGGGATGTATTTTGTCTCCATTGTTGTTCAATATATGTCTGGACTTTATCATGCGAAAAGCGATGAGACGAACAGAAACAGGATTGAGCTGGTCTAACGGGGAACGCTTGTCAGACTTGGATTTTGCGGACGACATTGCGCTTCTTGCGCAAGAAGAACGTGAGCTTCAAGAAGCAACTACGAGCCTGAACAGTGAAGCAACAATGATCGGCTTGCGCATCAGCGCCGAAAAATCGAAAGTCATGAAGATTGGCCCCAATGATGTGCAAACGGTCATCAATGTTGATGCAAAACAATTGGAGACTGTGGGAAAATTCACTTATCTTGGAAGTGTAGTTGCTTGTGATGGAGATGCAGAAACAGATGCACGGATACGAATAGCAAAAGCAGCAACTGTATTTCAACGACTTCAGCCAGTATGGGCAATGACTTCCATTTCACACAACATCAAGATACGCCTATACCAATCAATCGTTATTTCCACCGCGTTGTATGCAAGTGAGACATGGAAAATAACTGCTGGACTCGTTAAGAAAATAAATGCCTTTCATCAGCGTTGCCTTCGCCGAATCATGAAAATACGGTATACAGCCCACATCACTAATCAGGAAGTCCTGAGCCGCACAGGTATGAGCAGCCTCCACGTGGTTGTGGCACGGCGCAGACTCCGACTGGCTGGACATATTCTACGTATGCCTCAACATCGTATTCCACGAAGGGCCATGTACTGGATTCCTCCAGGAGCCAAGAAGAGCAAGAGGCCGTCCCAGAAACACGTGGAGACGAACATTCGATAATGATCTAAAGACCATGGATGTTTCTAGGGACGAGGGTGAAATACTTGCGCAAAATCGTCAGCAATGGAAAGAATTCGTCGCCCGATGTGCTCAACAGCACGGGAGGAACTAAGTCTAAGATGCGCTTGAAAATATCCAAGTTTGATGGGAGTCCTTTTTTCGGAACATCGTTACCATCAGTATTTACTGCCAATTTAGTTTTAAATGAGCTCCACAATTCACAAGTACCACCTTGATAAAAGCTAAGCCCCACCTTAAAGCCGATTTTATATGGTGAAAGAATAATAATTTTCGTCTCTGTAGTTAGTCACATCGCCAGCTGGGAAACAATTACCGTAGTCAAACACGGGCATTTTAACCGAACTCTTGACAAGAATATCAATAACCAAGGTGATGGTCAGTGCGTGAGAACGGTAGAAACTCGTTCACCGAACACAGCCAGTCGTAGCTAGCTGCCTCCAAGTGAAGTTCCTACTTTAGCTCTTGAGTCAGGATCAGTGACATAGATGACATAAGAACGATTTTACATGTGATAACACAATCCCCTTGTCCTTAATCACACCAGCACGGCAATGAATTTTTGATTTCAAGGATTTCAAATACGAACTGCTTCTCTCCTTGCACCTCCTCCTCCCCTCACCACTCCCTCCCCAAATGAACGTTACTTCGAGCAGGGTGAATATCGGTCGAGGATTCCTCAACGGCACGTCGAGGATTTTCGCCTGATCAGTTACGCTCTCCCGCGCGGACATTCACACTCGCCATGCGCGAGCCGTCTGTGCTCTCCGCGCGTACGTTCACTCTCGGCACTACTCTCGCACAGTAGAGAGCCATGGTCGAGGAATTTCCTCGACCGTTATTCACCCTGCCTCCAAGATAGGAAGATTCCTCTCACACTTCATTACGTCCAGCTTATGGTTAGAAAAGCATTTCCAAGGTACTTCACCCTAAACTAGACTACAATCCAAAGAGGCGTACCTGATCTTCGCTAGTGTAAAACGACAAATTTCCCACATAAACTGTAGTCGACGTGCGTAGTGCCAAATCTTGTTCTTTCAGCGTACCCTAAGAATCACTCTTATAAATAGTAAGAGAGTTTATCTAACTTAAACATGTCTAGAAGGATTAGTTCCTACTCACCTGAAACCGCTGATCTCGGTACTCGCTGATCTGGGTAACTGTCTCAGGGTGACGTATCGCAAATAGTTCTGAAAACGTGTAAAAAACGAACTGAAATGGTGTTCTTTGTCGCAATTTTGACGAATCTCACTGACAACAGAGAAACCCATAGCGCAATAAGATGTATCAAAAACCATTTACATCCGTGCATGGGACATAAATGAAGCTGTCGTACGAGAACGTGCCCAGTAAAACGCACAGATACCGTCAATCCATCCCTAGAGGTGTCTCAGACAGCATAAATATGAAAGCTCGCCGGCTTCAGCATTACTGTTTCATGAATATTACAGTATGCCAAATACGTATCAACGACACTCTGAGGAATGTTTGGCTAATATATAATAATGTGACGCAGATAAGATAACTCCAAAGAGACCACGCATGCACGTCTCAAAGAAATTGTA